AAAAAGTGTTTTTAATTGTGTACCAGTTTAACGTTGAATATTATTTATGATTTTGACTCAAAATGTCTAAAGCATTATCAAAACTAGAAGTAGATCAGAACTTAACATACAAAAAGATATCTTTGACAATAAGGCCCATTTATTGCATAATCAACATGGTGAATATTTATTATTGACAAGACTATATGTGCTACATGCACAATCGACACAGTAAATATTTATTATTGACAACACTATATGTAATACATGCACAATCGACACAGTGAATATTTATTATTGACAAGACTATATGTAATGCATGCACAATCGACACAGTGAATATTTATTATTGACAAGACTATATGTGTTACATGCACAATCAACACAGTGAATATTTATTATTGACAAGACTATATGTAATACATGCACAATCAACACAGTGAATATTTATTATTGACAAGACTATATGTAATGCATGCACAATCGACACAGTGAATATTTATTATTGACAAGACTATATGTAATACATGCACAATCAACACAGTGAATATTTATTATTGACAAGACTATATGTGCTACCTGCACAATCAACACAGTGAATATTTATTATTGACAAGACTGTGTGCTACCTGCACAATCAACACAGTGAATATTTATTATTGAAAAGACTATATGTAATACATGCACAATCGACACAGTGAATATTTATTATTGACAAGACTATATGTAATACATGCACAATCGACACAGTGATTATTTATTATTGACAAGACTATATGTGCTACATGCACAATCAACACAGTGAATATTTATTATTGACAAGACTATATGTAATACATGCACAATCGACACAGTGAATATTTATTATTGACAAGACTATATGTAATACATGCACAATCGACACAGTGAATATTTATTATTGACAAGACTATATGTGCTACCTGCACAATCAACACAGTGAATATTTATTATTGACAACACTATATGTGCTACCTGCACAATCGACACAGTGAATATTTATTATTGACAAGACTATACGTGCTACATGCACAATCAACACAGTGAATATTTATTATTGACAAGACTATATGTGCTACCTGCACAATCAACACAGTGAATATTTTTATTTCTTCTTTCAACTTCTCAATTATCAAAAGTTTTTTTATGTTGGTAGGTTGACAAAAGCTATTAAATCAACATTGTTGTTTTTTAATTGTGATAACTATACACATTTGATTATATGTTTTTTAAGTATCATCAATGATTAATAAAGATACAAACATATAATTTTATAAACCTGATTTTCTTTGTTCCCATGCTTTTGAAATTTCGTTATTTGAATTTTGGTCTTTTTCCAAGTTCTCACTAAGTTCGTAAATTTCTCTGTCACTTTCTAGAAGCTCACTATATAGATGGCTTTCTGACAGTGCACAAGAAGAATCCTCATCACTTCTGGAATCTTCTTCCTATACAGAATAGGAAATCTAACACATTTTAATAATTGGAATAGTTAAAAAGCTAATAAACCCTTAATTTTATACATTTATCTGTGAATTAAGATTTAAATAACACTACTAGATCAAAATACTTATATTAAATAATGCAAAAAGAAATACTGATCATTTTTTACAAGTTATTTTGCACAGAACAAGGTTGATTGTGTAGGGCAAGTTAAGTTTGAGATAAATAAAGAGAAATGTTAATTGTGATTAATGTATTTAAAAAATAGCTGTTGAATAAATGAACATATTTACGTGTATAATAGAATTGGGAAATTATTAGAATTCAACAGTCAATTACATCTTCCAGTATCACTGGTTGAGAGTGCACATGCCATTGGCTTTTATAGAGTTACAATCAAAATTTAATTAAATTACTTTACTATCAATATATGTCAATAAACATGGCATGAAAATGTAGCTAATAACTCAGATTTTTATATTATCTAGTTTTAACTTCTTAATTTGAAAAAAAAAGGAAAATTACAAAATCTCAAACTCCATTTTTCTACACAACGATGAGTTTGGGCTCCGAATTCTTCACTTCAGAATTCTCTAACTTCTAGGATAAGCTGCTGCAGGTTCCAACCAATTAGAAACACAAACTATACATAATTACAAAAACGTATCTAAAATTTTATTTTCCAACTTTCTTTATTTGTTAAGATATCAATAAATTTGTCAAACCCATCAGAAAGTTCTGTGTGCTATAATACAGTCAACTTTTTAATATTTAAGTTATTTTTTAAATAAATAAAAAATATACATAAAAAAAAGAAATGGACCATCCTTGCGCACATAGGGTTATGAATTTTAACTTAATAAAACCAAACAGGGCTGCATAGCACGTGGACAGAAGAGTTGTGGTTGGAAGGCACTAAAAATCTCATGCTCTCAGAAATTTATATTTATACTCTTATACTTTGATCATCCTTTAGAAATGTGGTTGTTTATACTTCATACAAAAGTTCTTTATGGCTTTGAATATGCCAGTTAGAATGCCTAAGTCACTGAGAGAAGAGAGGTATAAGAAAGATATCGTAGACCAGTCTTTCTAATCGCTATTCAATGACGGTTGATATAAACCATCATTTCTGGCCACTACACATGCAGTTATATCAACTAAAGTTAAAACAAAGGTGTTCAATTACAGGAGCTGGGTATACTGTTTTAGTCTTGTATATAGGACATACACAAATTTTTTATGCTTAGGTTTTAAATTTGAAACATACTATAAAACAATATGAGGCCCAATATTTAAAAATATAAAGCTACCTCTGCTGCTATCTTATTCTCTGTCACATTCTTAACAGACGTCAAATGAGTATAATTTCTGTTACTTTTTATCTCTTCATTGTCCAACTCCGGTTTAGAAGCTGTGGATTTTTTCACAATACCCTCATGTAAAGAAAGACATGCACTCTTCCACGAATCTGAAAAAACGAAAGGAAGAAATGATCAAACTGTTTAAGCAAACTTTGACAAGAAATACTTCTAAAATCAGATAGCATCCGTCTACGTATGCACATCAGATGTTCGCTCAAAGTCATCGCTAATTCTTGTAACTAATTCACCTGTCGGCTGTTCAGTTATAGTATTGATTTTGCTGGTGCATCATTGCTTTGACTGTCCTTGTTTTAAATTTTATAACAACTGTTGTCTGCAAGTCTCGTTTTAGTGATCGACCCTTGTGCAAGAATGAGTGACCACACTGAAAGATAGGGAACAAGAAAGCATCAAGTTAATAAAGGATTATGATGGAGTTATGATGCAAATCTTAAAAATACGGTGGTGCATGAGGCCAGAAAATGAACAGTTGTACCACTGCTAGAAAATTTGGTGTAACTGAAAATAATGCGAGGCATTGATGGAAACAAAAGACTGAGTTCCTTAATGCACATTCTAACAAAAAGCATTTCACAGACCTAAAAAAAAAGGACGTTATGACACTCAATTTTTTTTTCTTTCCCATGGTTTCTGAAAACGGGGGTAGCCTTATAATAGAGATTGCCCTGTAATTGGGCCAATATAGCATATTGCAGGATATTTAAAAATGACAAAACTTTGTGTGAAACATAAAATAATAGCAAAAACCTAGAAAGTGAAGATTTTAGAAAATACTCCACTGTTTTGAATAATATAAAATTGGTTCCTAAATACATTAACTTACTTATAAACTCAACTTGTTCTACCTCTTCTGTAGCATACTTCCTTAAATTATTTGCTCTTGAATGCTGGTCTTCTTCTCCATCAAAATCATCACAGTCTTCATCGCTTTCAATTAAACGGGAACTCGTGTTATCAATTGATATATCACCTACTGGCTCAACCTTTACCTCGACAGGTTCCTCCTAAAAAGTAACAAATTTATCTATATTGTGCAATTTCAGTAAAATCATAAGTGGACAATGTCTGTATGATTTGTTGAGGTCTTTGTTTCTGAGGCCTTCTTCAAAACACTGTCCTATTTAATTTTTTCAGGTGATGATGCATTACAATCATGTGGAGAAGCTCTCGTCACTAATGGCTTTTAATGTGCCAGTCAGAATGAGTCACTAAGGAAAGAGATATATAAGAAAGGCATTGTAGTCCAGTCTTTCTAACCACCATTTAATGATGGTTGATACACTTAGACTATTAAAAGTTCTACAAGATTTATTTGAAGTATCTGTTTTTTTATGATTTATTGTAAATGTTCTATGTTGAAGGACAAACAGAAGAGGCATTATTAGAAAGATCTTGAGATGTTCTCTTACAGGAGTCAATGACCTTTCTATAGGCAAGCTTCAAATGCTGGAATAAGTAGGAAATAAAATCTCCAATTCTTCAATAATTCTAATGGACTTGCAACTATGGCCTAAAGCTCCACACACACAACTTGGTGATGCCATAAATATTTTTTTTTCTTTGTTTTGTTTTTTAAGTGCTGAGCCAATACAGGTTATATAAAATAAAGTTTTTGTATGAACCAAGTATTTCTTTAGTCTCTGACCAAGAGCTCTTATTCCTCAAAAAAATTGTACCAAGAAACTATAACTTTATTTTTTTAAAACCACTTATTACTTCTCAGCCATATATATCTGCCCATATTTTGTTTAAAACTGAAAATCATATTACCCAGTAAGCTGTTTATTTTTCTATACAAATGAATAGACAAAAAATAAAAAGTCCAAATAAAATACTTGCTTTTTCTATCCATCAGAGCTGTCCAAATCAACCTCTACCCAGTGCAAGGTGTGCTTCACATAGAGCTGCTACACAATTGGTACTATAGGGTTAGTATTGTTGGTATTGTACAGTTGGTACTATACTATACGGTTACTATAGTTGGTATTAAATAAAGTATCATGAAACCGATTTAATTACTGTTTGTTTCAGAGTTATAACTACAAATTAAACTATGTTCTAAATAAAATAACTGTATAGTCATTTTTGCACCACCCTGTATATAAAAGTTAATGGAAGCCAATGTTTATCAATAGTTGAGTTTCTATTGTGATCTTAGGTAAATTGTGGAACTGTCAATTTTTCTAATGGATTTGATTTTTACAAGCTTTTTTCTATATAACATCAAAAGCTCAAGGAATAACCACTTTTACCATATACTCTCTTACTAAACATATTCTTTATAAGGTCTTGATTCACCTCTTATAGGTGGACACATTAAAAACTAAAATTGCATTAAATGGACATAAACCTAATAATTAAAACTACAATATATGTTTTAAAACCAATTTACCTCTGATAATTCATTCATTGTTTCTTTATCTTCACACAGCACAAACCAGAAGTTCCTTCCTTTCCCTTCTATCTTCCTTTTCTTACTTTTAGAACTCCACAAAACACAAGATTCTTTCTTCTAAAACAGCACCTAGTAATTGTAGTCGAGATGCAGAAATGTTTCTCTTATCATAAATGAATACTTAAAAATATCACTGATATTGTATACAAAACTATTTTGGCCACATTGTAAAGAACCATAAAAGCTTGTAGCAATCCTGATGTGTAATGCCACATTAGTTCTTCACATCGTCATTCTGTAAAATAGGTTGTGTCAAGGTTAGTGTAATATGTAGAAAAGAATTAATTGTAGTGTTTCATTTAGGTATGTAATTCAACTATTACATTTTGAAATTTTATGAAAAAAAGCTAATCTATGGAGTTGCTTGCAACATAACCAGAAAGAATTGTATAAAAATTGCTCATAGATTTTTTTTTTCAAGTTGATGAAAAGAAACATTTATTTCATCCCAATATTTTGGATTCAAAACCCTCTCTCAGAGGTTATAGGATCTCTTCAATAATTATTTTAGCAATCTAATATTTTCTAAAAGGCCTTTCACTCAACATTCAAGATGATTGAAACTGTAATTAATTTTTGTAATTTTCTATTAGATAATACTTATTGTGCTATTATTATGATTAACAGGATTAAGTTGAAAAGCTAGTAAACATCATATTTGACTTTCAATACATATATCAGGTACAAATCCCACTTGTCCTAGCTTCAATCAATTTTTACCAGAAAAAATAACCGTTTAGATGCATGATTAAAAACAAAGTGGATTTACAAAATTTAAATCAGTGTTACTTATATATATTTTTATAAAAATATATATACATAATACTACAGTAATCAGCACATAGTTAAACTCTAGTAATCTCCACGTTAACACATCTTAAATACATTGTAAGTATAATTTATACATAACTAAACAATCGCATTAAACTGAAATTATCTAACCAATATTTAACTGTAAAAGTGTAATAAATTTGATTTAGACAGACACTATGATCAATAAACTGAAGAGTCAGGCTGTAGTATAGATCTGCTTTTAACTAAGTATTATATATTTACCTAATTTGAAACGAATGATAACTTATTAACAGGTATTGAAGTTACGTTACGTCGTTAGAACTTATCTTTCACGAGTTTCAGTTTTACTTTTAAGTTTAAATAGCCTGAAATTTGGACTAACATTAGAAGCTAGAGCCATGTGGTACTATCTTAGTTAATACATTACTAATTCTTAAGTCAAATACTTACCACTTCACATCATTTGTTTTCATGTTTCATCAAGTGTAAGAGTCAATATATTTTACTGTTGTGTTATTACTCTGTTGGTGGTAGCCATCTTATTTTCTCCACTTCCACAATCTTAAAACTTACCACCGGGCACTAGCTTGCTGAAATAAGTAAAATTCTAAGCTAAAAAAAATCTAATATACAAAAGACATGAAAGTTCCTTGATAAAATTGTGCTTAATAAGTTATATCTGTTTTTGAAAAAAACATAAAGAAAGAAAAATAGTCTTAAACTTAAAGATTGTCATTAATGTTGTAAAAATGTAATGGAAATTAACTTAGATTGTAACACAAAAATAAAAGTCAGCACACGTCACTGGTTATTTTAATTTATATGAAAGCCCCAATTGATATTGTTACGCCTCTGTGTTCGTTTGTTAATTTTCCGTAAAAATTCTTTCTGAAGAAACTTTAGCGATACAAGTCCTTTCTTAAATAAAACTAGTTTATTCTTTCTCAATACAACTTTGCAATACACTTAATTTCCACAGCCACGCTATAACTTAAACAAACGCTATAATTCACAACGAACGATTCACGCGCTTGACTCAATCTCTGTCTGCAATTCAATTCCATTGTTGCCGTCACTTCTTGGCGGTCTTATATACAAGAATACCGCACATCTAGTAAACACTTTAGTGTCATTCTGTGTCTCGGAGTCGAATTAATAAATTTCCTGCAAACTACGTTATTTTCTTATGTTTTCTCAGCGTCATCATTCAAATTTCAATTATTTTTTAACATTTCGCCGAAATCTATAACTACGTGTAGAATTATTTTCAAACCAAGATTTTATGAAGCTTCGCGTTACCAATTATGTCCGCTCATATTCTGTTCAGGAACCAATTTAATGGTGCTAAAGGTCGCTTATTAAAATAAATATGAAATGTTAATTCATCCCACGTTACATAAACTGATTATTTTTTAAATTTAAATGTTTATCCTGATTGCACTAAGGCTATCGACATCTGAGAACTATAGACTATTTAGAGGTCAGTTGACAGCTATATTGCAGTGTCTAGATCGTGTATTGAACTCCAAATTCTGAGATTCAGCCGGCAAGGAACACTTGAAGCAGAAGACTGGAGAGGAGGCATGGCAACAGATAGTTGAGACTTTCTACTGGGAACCTCAGAAGAGGGTGATGTGTTGACAACATGGGATGAATTAGTTGAAGCAGAACAAACATGTGAATAGTCAGAAACACTGGGAAGATACTCCAATTGGACATGTTCCACTAGCACCTCACCATCCACAAGCAATTGGGGATTAACTGAAACAGGAGAGGGATCATAAAACGAGAGGAAAAGCATGACGAGCTAAGTAGAGTAGGAAGAGCTGATAATTGAAACAATTCCAGTTACTGCTCAATAGCATCCAATACTAGCTCCTCAGATGGGGAAAGCGGGGACACAATAGAAGGTGTAAGGACAGCTGCTTCATTTGAAACGGGTA